TGACAGGTGCCCATCCCACCTTTGCTTGATGTTAGATAGCACGGGGCCAAACACTGATCCCTGGGGTACTCCGCTGGAGACCTCCTGTCAAGTTGATATGGAACCATTAACTTAGTGGTTCTTAGAGGTTATGCCAAAGTGCATTAGTGTGCTGTTAAGTTTTGCTAAATGTGCCACAAATTGTATGAAATTTATACTTGCAATGGCATGGGAATGTGTGGGTCTCTGACTGTCTTGCAATGTGCAAGACAAGTACAATTCCTTACAGCGAAGAATAATAAATATCGTACTATGATTTTAAAAAGTTTGAGAACCACTGCTTTGAGAACTACGCTTTGAATCCAGCTGTTCAATCCTACTGGAAGCCATAAATTTTATTATATTTTGTTATTCCTCTCTCCATCTTCCCTAGCAGAATAGTGTAGCAACAGATCCTGCTGAGTCCTTGGGGGCTGGGGTGCTGGCCCTCTCCCACTGAAGGGGCCTTAGCTCCAGACTGGGGATGGGGAACCTGTGGCCGTGAGGTCATATGTGGCCCTCTAGATCCTCAAATGTGGCCCCTTGACAGAATTAAAATGGAATCTTTTTATTAATACATTTTAATTATTATGAAAATAAATATACATTTATTAATAAAAAAGATTTGTTCTTTGAAGTTTGGATTATGTCAAAGGGCCACTCTTGAGGACCTAGAGGGCCACATGTGGCCTCAAGGCCTCAGGTTCCCCACCCCTGTTCTAGATCCAGAGAAGCTTCAGTCCTGGAGAAGTCTGGCTTCTAAGAGAGAGGTCAAGCTTTTTTCTAATAATACACATTGGCTCCAAAAGCTCCATCCTGGAGCCCCAGGAAGTCACTTCAAGCTTAGGTATAGCTCCTGTCCAAGGTCTCCCCAAAAAAGGAATACTCAATGCACAGCATAGATCATATATAAGGAAACTTTTTTCCCACAAAAAAAAGACTCAAAAGAAACATAATCATCCTAGCAGCATCCCAGAGACAGCAGCAGCTGTTGGTAATGTCTACATCAAGAGCTAAGAATAGGCTGGATGGGATGAGGAAAGTCAGATTCAAGGTGCAACAGAAAAGCTACAACATACCCAAGCAGAATCTCCTCAGTACCCCAGGAAAGAAAAAATGACTTCCAGCAACTAGGGGTGATGTCTTGTCCCACTATAGTAAAATATCCCTTTCTAGAAGGCTAATTAAGAATGGCTGACTGATAATAATCATGGAGGGGGGAGACACACTGATGGGGGCTTGTGAGTTAAAGTATTAGAAGGACAACGGTTAGACCCACAGGGTAACCCTAGACTCTGAGAGGATGAGAAGTGGTCTTGACCTGGGGACTTGCCTTGTCCATGGAGTTGGGGTTAGGAGAGTAGCCCCAGAGTACGTGTGGCATATGTCTAGGATAGTGATTTCATGCCAAAGTGTATGCAGTTTAATGCTTTTTGGGATATAGTTCCAAATCACTTTCTAGGATAGTTGGACCACTTCACAGCTCCAGCAACAGTGCATCAGTGTGCCTATCCTCCCACATCCCCTTAGACAAATGTTATTTTCCTCTTTTGTTTTATTTGCCAGTCTGATGTATGTGAGGTGGAAGCTCAGCGTTTGAATTTTTGTTTTAGTTTGAATTTCTCTTATTATTAGTGATTTGGGATATTTTTTCATATGGTCATTGATAGCTTGAATTTTTTCCTCTGAGACCGGTTTACATCCCTTGACTATCTATTGACTTCAGGTCACGACTCTGTGGTCTTTGTTGTTCAGTCATTTTTTAGTCGTGTTTGACTCTTTGTGACATCATTTGGGGTTTTCTTGGCAAAGCAGTTTGCCATTTCCTTCTCCAGCTCATTTTACATATGAGGAAACTGAGGCAAACAGGGTTAAATGACTTGCCCAGGGCCACACAGCTAGTGTCTGAGGCCAGACTTCAGCTCAGGAAGATGAGTCTTCCTGACTCCAGGCCTCTATCCACTGCATCACTATATGGTCTCTGAGATCCTTTCCAGCTCTGTGATCCCTATTTACCAAGAGATTTCCCTGGTCTTTGACATTAGATGAGTGAATGAAAAATACTGGGAGTAGGGGCAAAGTTGGGAGAGCTTTTAGAAACATGCGTCAGGCTTTTTCTGGAATCCATACTTGCTCAAGGTTTTGGCTTCATAGTTCTATCCTCAGCTCCAGAAGGCTTGGGGCTGCATTGAGTGGGCAGGGGACTGTGGCTCACTCCTTGTGGAGGGGTGGTGGCCAGGGCTTCTTCAGAACCTAGGCCTGGGCGGATGAAGGGGGCACCTCTCTTGGTTCCACTGTCTCTAGGGCCTTTCTTTTCTGAGGCCCTGTTGCTATCCTTCCCTCAGTGAGCTGGCAGACTTCAGCCATCTGATGTGTGTGACTTGTGGGGGTGTGATGAGGGGGAGGGGGGGACCACTGCAGGGGAATCCAAGGAAGACTAGTCACAGCTCCTTCAGGCTGGGTCCATCTGCCACCACTTCATGCCCTTTCCCTCCCCTTCCCTCTCCCCCTGAAGGAGGGATTGATTGGTTTTTTCTAAGGTATGAATATCCCCATTCTCAGTTTCTGTTTAGGGAAACCTGTCTCAGCTCCATTTCCTAGATAGGGAAAACAGGAGTTCAAGGTGGAATGGGGGTAGGAATTAGAGGCCAGCACTGGTGCTGGGAATAAGGCTCAGGGTGCCCAGACAGCCAGTCCAATGCTCTGTCCAGACCCCCACAGAGTGAGGAATTTGAGATGCAAGATCTCCTTTGTCTCTCCATGCAGGAGCCTGGCCCTGTTGGGGAACAATCCTAGGAGTTTCAAAGAGTGGGAGGTCATTTAGGTCATCCCCCTTCCCCTGCTACATCCCCACAGATTTGAAGATGCTTGGGGCTGGGCATGGAGCTTGGCCATTCCTAAATTTTAAGGGCCCTTAAGGAGATTTTGCAGTTCTTGGTTTTTGGGGGAAGCTCAGGAGTCTCCCTTGTCTGTGGCAGCCTGAAGAAGCCTCTTTCTCAATCCCTCTTCCCCCTCTGATCCCCCCTTCCTTCCAGTTTCTGCCAGGGAGTGTGAGAAGACTGCATCATCTGGCATACATTTGGGTTAAATTAGGAACCACTGGGGGATGGGAGAGAGGATGGGGAACTGGGTGGGAAGCAAGAGGCTCCTTGTTTTGTTGCATCCCGGGGCCCTCCCTCCCAGCAGTCTCCTAAGCTTGCTTGGAGATCTGGAAGCCGGAGCATGAGGCCCCTTCCTCACCCGGGGGAGCGGTGACTCCACAGTGCCCACTCTGGCCAACCGGAGAACTTTACCCAAGAACTCGGTTGGCTGGTCAGCCTCGAGGGGCTGAGTGGAGAGGCTCCTGGCACAGGGGGAAACTAGGGGTGAAGAAAGGGATTAAATGGAACGGGTGGCAGGGGAGGAGACTGTTTTTACTAACCAATCAGCCTGCCTCTAGTCGCTGTACTGTGGCCCGGGAGCGATGAGGGCAAATTCTTTCTTCATTCTACCTCAGTCCTTAGTTGTATGCATTCTAGTCCCCAGGAGCCATGGCAAATTTCGGGTCTTTCCTGGCCCGGGCTTCATCCCCTAAACCCAGAACAGAGCCTTCTGGCTAGTCCCAGGCTAGCCTCTCCCTCAATCCCGGGGCAGAACAGTTGAGTCTCCTGCTAACCCAGGACCTGAATTGAGCGAGCCTCAAACCCGGGGCCAGGAGGGAGGGCGGCCAGTCCAGACCAGAGCTCAGCCTCCCTGCCAGTCCTGGAGCAGAGCTGCCTCTTTCCCAATCCTTGGCCCCAGCGGAACTCCCATTAATCCTTGGCCAGAGCTGCTCCCCATTCCATCCCATGCCAGTCCCAGAGCAGAGCTGGACCCCATTCCCAACCACAGTCGCTTTCTCCCCCACCCCGCGCTCCTCAATCTCGGACTAGTAAACCTCCGTCCCCACCCTTACCCATTCTGACCACAAGTTCTTCCTCCCCATCCTCCAGTCCCCAACCAGAGTTAAACCTTTCTCACCACCCTCATTATATCTCTATACTAGATCAGCTCTCCCCCCCCCCCCCCCCCCCCCGGGGCAGAACCGGCCCCCCCCCCCCCCCGCCCCCAACCTGGATAGATTGACTAGAGCTGCACCCAAGTCTCTAGTCAGGGCTAAACCTTTTCCCACATGCCAGACTGGCGCCGCACCCCCAGGTCCAAATCGGAGCTGGAAAAAGGGAGGTACCTTTTCCCATTCCGCACCACCACTGCTTCCTCCCCACTCCCCAACCTCCGACCAGAGCTAAACAGCCCTCGCCACCCCCGTTATACCCCTATCCTAGAGCAGCCCACTCCCACCTTCCCTCCCCTCAGGGTCCAGAACTGAGCCTTGTGGCCCCCTCCCCATTCTGGATACAGAAGGAGAATCCCAGTCTCCCGGTCTCCAGCCAGGGCTAGTGCTTTTCCTACACCCCAATCGGCGCAGCACCCCTGATTCCAGGGGTATCCTTCCCCATCTCGGCCCAGAGTTGCGTCCCTCGATCTCAGGCTAGATTTGCTCCCCAGAGTGTGGAGAAGCTCTAGGGACCGACCCCGAGAGGGGAGAGGGGCAGATCTCGAGGGCAGTCGGCAGGGGGCGTACGTGAGGAGGTTTGGGGGGGGTTACCATAGGGGGAGGAGAGATCTCCTGAGCCCGCCCCCTCCTCCGCCCTTCCCTCTCCTGCCCCGTACCACGCCCGCCCGTTCTGCGCTCCAGCTGGCCCGGGTGGGGCGCGGGGGGCGGGCCGAGGGCGGTGCTCGGGGAGCGCGGCGCTGGCTGCGATGCCTCCTCCTTTGCTCGCTGCCACTCTCCCGAGCCACCTGTAGAGCCGAGGCAGCCGTTGGTTTCTCCCCCACCCCCCACCCCCACCCCAGGACCGCTCCACCCCCTACCCCTCGCTCCTGCGGGAGCCCCCCGCACACCCCTGCTCCCCATCCCAGCTCCGCAGCGATCTGCTCCCCCTCCTCCCCGCTCCCGCAGACTGGGGCTCGGCTCTCTGGACATGTAGCAGCCGCGACGGCGGCGGCCCTGGGACAAGCAGCCCCCTGCCTATGCTTCCCGGCCTCCAGCCGCACCCCCAGCGCAAAGTTAGACTATGGCTCGGAACATCTCTCTGAATTTTCGCGTGGTGGAGGGCCGGGACCTGCCAGCCAAAGACGTGTGAGTCTCCCTTCTCCCCGGCCGCCCCATTTCTTTCTGCTCCTCCTCTCCGATTTTTTTGGGGGGGATGAAGTCAGTCAAGCATTTCATACGCGCCTATTACGTGTCTGACACTGTGCTGGGCACTGGAGGCTCCTTAGTACGCCCCCCCTCCCCCGTCCTCAATCTAGGTGGGAAACCCTGGAGGAAAGCAACCTGTCCCAAGCACAGCCCCACCCTTGCCCCTGCAGAGGCTGTCTACTGTCCCAGAAGTTTGGGGGAACGGGTCGTGCCAGCTTTGACCTCCCCAGACCCTATCATTGTCTCCCCACCTCTCCTCTTTTTTTCCCCCTGTGTTCTCCCAGCCGGTCCAGGCAGATGGCTTCTCATTCTAGGCTGTCTTAAAATTAGGGCATCTCTGCTCAGACAGTCCTGGGGGAGGGAGTTGTGGAGTTTGAGCTGAAGCTTTCCCATAGGGCTTCGAGGGGAGGGGGGCGTAGAACAGCGGTGCAGAATAGATCCCCTTTGGGAGTTCAGCTTCAACCTGCCTGGGGCATTGGCAGAAGGGTAATGGCTCTGGAAGGGAGATTAGAGGTTGTGGGCATGTGGGCATCCTCTTCTGTGCCTTAGAATCTTGGGGTGAGCTCCCCTTGACAGGGAGCTCTTACCCCCACGCTCCTCCGAGGGCCCTGGAGTCAGTTAGATGTCATCCCTAGTCCCCACCCTATGCTGGCTGGTCAAGTCTGTACTGGTGAGGCATGGGGGTTCTGTCCTTAGCAGTAGGCAAATCTCACCTTCTCCTAGGGTTCCCAGCTAGGTTAAGCCTCTTTTGGGAAGAAGAGACAAGTAGCCTTTCATCCTGTTCCTTTCTTAGACTGGGCCTCAGGACTCCAGGGTATATCTGGTCACCTTGGCTTCAGGTGTTGTGGGAGGAGGTGGGTCAGCGATTGGCCCATGCTTGGTGTGGTCTGATTAGGACAAGAGACCCTTTGCTCTAGAGCGTCTATACTCCTTGTTCCTATGATATGGCCCCTTTTCAGAGGCATTGAGTCAGCACAAATCTGGAGCACAGTCTCCACCCCCCTCCCCATAGGGCTCGCCTTTATCAGGAAAGGGACTCTGCCTGTGATTCCGCCTGAGGATGGATGCCCCGTGGAGGAGATTGGTGACAGAAGTAGGCAGGCTGAGAATCCCTTTGAAGTCACTGGGGGTATTTCCGCAGTGGTTTGGGGGTTATGGACAGACCTCCATTTTGGAGCAGCCAGACCAATGTGCTTGGAGTCAAGGGAAACCTGGGTTTCGAACATTGGACTTGGAATCAAGAGACACCTATGTTTGTATCTTCAATCAGTCAAGTCAACAAGCATTTATTAAGCACTAGGGATACAAGGAAAAGGCAGCTGTGTGGCAAAGTGGACAGAGTGCTGGGTTTGGAGTCAGAAAAACTCATCTTCCTGAGTTCAAATCTATCCCTCAGACACATACTAGCTTTGTGACCCTGGGCAAGTCACTTCGCCTTTAATGCCTCAGTTTCCTCATCTGTAAAATGAGCTGGGGTGAGAAATGGCAAACCGCTCCAATGTCTCTGCCAAGAAAACCCCCAATGGGGTCAAGATGAGTTTGACACAACTGAAATGACTGAACAACAACATAGGAAGACAAAGAAGGAAACAGTATTTGCTCTCAAGGATTTAACATTCTGACAAGATTATGTATCAGTATGTAGCATGACTATTAAGGGAGTAAGTACAAATAAGTTGAAAGCCGTTAGCTACAAGGTAGTTTGGGAGGGAGGGCAGGCACCAGCCGTTGGAGGGATTGGGAAGGGCCCCATGAAGAAGCTGAGGCTTGAGTTGTGCATTAAGGGAGGAGAGCTTTATGAGGAAGAGGCAAGGAGGCAGGGCATTCCAGGTATGTGGGATGGCCAATGTAAAACCACAGATATGGGAAGTGTAGTGTTGTATTAGAGGAGTGCAGAACAGGTCAGTTTGGCTGGATTGCAGGAGGGAGGGTAATGTCTAATGAGTCTGCAAAGGTAGTGTGAGGCCCTTATCTGTGAACCGGGGATAATAATATCAGCAGTACCTGGCTCACAGGGTTGTTATGAGACTCCAGGGAGAAAATGGATGCGAAAAGCTTTTTAAAATGTACAAAGTAAAATGCAAATTCCAGATTTCAGTATTAAGTATGTCACAGCTGTTTTCTCTTTTAACCCTCTCTCATATTGGGGAAACTGAGGCATGGAAAGGTTAACATGTTGGCATGTCAGAGAACCTGCCCTGCCCTGGAGTGCCCAAACCTGTCTTCTTGCTCACTCGCAGGCTCGTCTCCCGAGGGGTTTGGTGCCAGGAGACATTACTGCCCACATTGCTGGGGTGTAGTTGGTGTGCGTTTGTGTGTGTGTGTGTGTGTGTGTAAAATGCATCAGGATATCTGACTTTGGCTCTGGTTCTCTTCCCTGGGTACTTTGATTTAGGAGTTTAACAAGGAAACTCTGAACAGAGCCACCAGGATGGGGGAGAGCCCCTGAGCTTTTCCAGGCAGGTGGAGGAAATGAGGAAGTTCAGCTTCTCCCAGAACCTTGTGTCCTAATCCTGTTCTACCCACACTTTCCTGGCAGAGAAATGCCATCCTTTCTCATGGATCCAGATTAGTCCCAGAGAAAGGTCCCATATATTGGAAACTCCTTGGTGGGGTGGGGAAGGGAGTGGTCCCCCCTAGTTCTGGGGCTGACCTCAGAAGCCATATTTGACTCAGACCCCAACTTCTTTGTCTCAAAGTACCAAAGCCACTTCTGTTGACTCAAATGCCTATTTCTTTGGCTGCTTGGAAATTGGTCTAGGCACCTAGTATCCCCTTTTTTCCTGGGCAGAATTTTGAAAAGAAGAGAAGCACTGGTTTGGAAGTCAGGACCTCTGGGTTCTAGTCCTGAGGAGATTCCTGGCTCTGGCATCAGAGCCTGGGTTCAAATCCTGCCTCTTATGCTTGCAACATTTGTGTGATTTTGGGCAAGTCATTTAGCTCCTTTGGGTCTCAGTTTCCTCATCTGTAAAATGGGAGGCAGAGTTGGACTTCTGAGGTTCCTTCCAGCTCTAGACCTTGAAATCTTCTGTGGGGCTTGGTTCAAGTCCCTTCTCTGAGCCTTAGTTTCCCCTTCTGTAAATAAAAGGTTGGACTACATGATTGTTAAACTCTGATATTGATGGTTTTTTAAAGGACCCCTTCATTTTTCTCCAAACTTGAAGTCGTGCGGTAGGTTTTTGGGCAGAGTGACCCCTTCCAAAGGGGTTTTGGGGAAATTTGGGCTGGACTAAGGACAAGAAGCTGATATGACCTCATTCTGAATTGTGACTGCTGTCTGCTTCAGACAAACTCTCTTTCACTGCCTCAGTTTCCCCAGTTCTGAGCCAAGAATGACAAGCCTCTTCCCCTACTTTCCTCCCCCCTTAAACTTGCCCCTGAACCTGTTCTTCATCTTGAAAGCATCATCCAGAGGAAGAAGGAATTCTGTGGGTCCCCAAGGGCTTTGCTGATCTTTGCTATCTCGGGAAATCTTTCCTTTTCTACCACTATTTGTAAAGTTGTTTCAGTCACGTCCAACTCTTGGTGACCCCATTTGGGATTTTCTTGGCAGAGATACTGGAGTGAGTTTGCCATTTCCCTCTCCAGTTTACTTTATAAATGAGGAAACTGAGGCAAATAGGATTAAGTTACTTGCCCAGGGTCACACAGCTAGGAAGTGTCAGAGTGTGATTTGAGCTCAGGAAGATGAGTCTTTCTGACTCCAAACCCAGTGCTCTATCCACTGTGCTAGCTAGCTGCCACCATCTACAGATGGGGAAACTGACGTACAAGATGGGATATCTGCTGATTCTTTCAGCACTAGGGTCTCCTGGGTGAATATGGCTGCCTTCCTATTCTAAAACTTTTCAGCTCTGAAAGGCTACTTTGAAAGGAGTTTGGTCCAGGATTGATCCAGAGGTCTCTGAAGAAAGACCCGATGTCAGATAGCCTTACTGGACATGTGAAAAGTAGGAGGGGGTAGGTTGTAGTTGCCTTTCCCACAAATAGAGAGTAGGAGGGCCCAGTCCCCATTCCTGTGGGAAAAGCTAAGAGGCCAGGTTCAGGGCAGATCGCATCCTGCTAAGTAGGCACTTTCCCTGAGTGACATCGGACCACCCCTATCTGATGGGAGCCTGATAAGGACCCTTCCTCACGTCAGCAGCCTTGAGGGTGAAGAGTTGACTGGGAGGGGGGTAGCCTTCCCAGAGAGGGATTCAAGGGGCAGAATGTTGGGAGGTCAGTACAAGGGCACCTGGGAAAGCACTTTGCTTACGGGATCCCCAGCCCAGTCTCAGCCCTCCCCCAATGGACTGACTGAAACACTGAGGCAGAAGGGAGAAAAACTGTTCATTCAGTGAAAAGGAGGCTATAAGTCAGGAGGGGAATTCTGATCCAGTGTGCTGACATGAATGCATAAGTCCCACAGACATTGAATAAAATGGGGCTTAGTTGAAGAGATTGGGGATATTAATGGTAATTACTCAGAGGATCATAGATCCAGAACTGGAAGGTTCCTTAGAGGTTGTCTAGTCTAAATCCCTGAGGTTAAGTGACTTGCCCAAGGTCATACAGCTGGAAAGTATCTGAGGGGCAGCTAGGTGGTGCAGTGAATAGAGCACTGGCCCTGAAGTCAGGAGGACCTGAGTGCAAATCTGGCCTCAGACCAAACACTTGACACTTACTAGCTGTGTGACCCTGGGCAAGTCACTTAACCCCAATTGCCCACAAATTAAAAAAAAAAATTAAGAAAAAAAGAAAGTATCTGAATCCGGATTTGAACTCAGGTCTTCCTGACTCTAGGACCAGTGCTCTAGGCACTGTGCTACTTACCACAGTGGTACACATTCACTGTGGAGTCAGAAGACCTGAGTTCTAATTCCACCTCTGACTTAATACTGCCAGTGCTTGACACAAGGTTGAATTGTAATCAGTTTTTGATTGATTCCTCCTTGTGTGACTTTGCACAAGTCACTTCACTTTCCTGGGCCTCAGTTTCCTCATTTGTAAAATAGGGAAAGTAACAGCCCACATTCCCAGGGTTATTGACATGAGAAAACCTTAAAGTGGGCTAGCTATAAGGGCTAGCTATTAATATGGCTCAGGATTTACAAGGCCCTTCGGTCTTTGCGGTCCCATGAGGGTAAGGCATGCAGGTATTATTCCCCGATTTTTTTTTTTACTGAGTCCTGTGCTTTCCTTGGCGGGCAGTGATGCTTCCAGGCAGGCACTGGTTCTGACAGTGTGAGCCAGTGCATGTTCTGACGTTTATGTTGTCAGAGAGCTGACCGAGTGGTTAAGTCACTTGCCCAGGGTCATGGAGCCGGTCTGTGTTGGAGGTGGAACTTGAATCCGGGTTTTCCTGCCTCCCAGGCTGATGCTCTACCCAGGTCACCATGCTGTGTCCCCATCTTGAGGACCCTGAAACTCAGAGAAGGAAGTGACTCCCTCAAGGTCACCCAGTAAGTGTCCCAGTGGGGCACTAAGTGAGCCCTCCAGCCCCCCGGCTAAGGGAATGGGCCAGGGAACCAGATCAAGCGATGGGATGGGGAAGCAGTGTTAGGGAAGAGGAGTCAGGATCTGACATCGGCAGGTCAGAGCGCAGGAGGCTCTGGAAGGTTTGGGAACGAAGCGGAGAAGGCTGGAGCCACCAGCTCTCAGCAGCCTTGACTTTGTTCATCGTTCAGTCATTTCAGTCACGTCCGACTCTTTGTGACCCCCTTTGGGGTTTTCTTGGCAAGGATACTGGGGCGGTTTGCCATTTCCTTCTCCAGCTCATTTGACAGATGAGGAAACTGAGGGAAATAGGGTTAAGTGACTTGCCCAGGGTCACACAGCTAGAACATGTCTGAGGCTGGATTTGAACTCAGGTCCCGCTGATTTCCAGGCTTGGTGCTCTATCCACTGCACCACCTAGCTGCCCCAGCCTTGGATTTGTCCCAATCATATTTGTTCTTTCCTGATGGGCCAGTCCTCAGCTCCTTCAGAAGATCGTAGGATCCCTTGGGCCACTAGGGCACCTATTTGACTATGGCCTTTCTCCTCTTTCCTCCCTACTCCCAAGGGCTGGTCAGATGGTGCTGGGTCGAACTGTAATAAAATGTGGTTATAGGCCAGCTTGGGGGTCAGGATCAGGAACACCTAGAGTCTTTCCCCAACATCTGATGCGTGAAATGTCTTTATAGGTTCCCCTCCCCAGAAGAAGCTCACAAGGGGAGGACAATACTTAAGCCAAAGGAATTCATCCCAAATAGTGGAATTTTGGGAATTGGTAGGAAGCTGTTTGATGGTTTTCCTTAAAACTGATATTGACTCTCTAAATGGTCCTTCTTGGTCAAGGACTCTTAAAGTCTTCTCCTGAAGCTTCACCTGGACAATGAGAGTCATGGGTATTATTACCACAGTGCCTTGGTTTCCCCTTTATGGAATTGGGTAGTTAATGTTGGCCTCCAGTAGAAAGATTTTTGATGCCTAAGGATCATAAAATTATAAATCCAAAACTGGAAGAAATCTCAGAGTCCATGTAATTAATAAGCATTATTAAACACCTACTATGTGCCAGGCATGGCGCTTAGCTCTGGGGATACAAATAAAGGCAAAAATAAACAAAACAAAACAAAACAAAAAACACCAGTCCGTGCTGTCAAAGAACTCACAGTCTAATGAGGGGAGACAGCGTGCAAGCAGTCATATACGCCCCAGATATGAACAGGATCAATTGAGGGTAGTCCCAGGGGGAAGCTGGGTGAGGCAAACAGGGGTAAGTGACTTGCCCAGGGTCCGCCCAGCTAGTAAGTGTCTGAGGCTGGATTTGAACTCAGGAAGGTGAGTCTTCCTGACTCCAGGTCCAGAGATCTATCCAATTCCGTACCTAATTGCCCACACCTGGCACATAGTAGGTGCTTAATAAATATTTATTGATTGATTGCTCTAGCCAAGCTGACCTATTTGCTATTCCTCACACCCTGTGTGCGAGAAGCTATCTCCCATCTCCTTGCTTTTTCACAGGCTGTGTACCTCATGCCTGGAAGGCACTCTCTCCTCTTTGAATCCCTACCTTCCTTTAAAGCATAGCTCACATGCCATCTCTTACCTATCAGGCCTTTCCTGATGACCTCCCCTCCCACTACTTACTAAGTCAGTCCCACCCATCACATTTCATATAGCTTGTATTTATTTATCTGTGAACATGTTGTTTTTCCTCCAGTATATATGATTCTCAAGGGTAAAGGATTGTTTTATTTTTGTCTCTATTCCCAGGACCTGGAGTACTGGCAGGCTTCATAAATACTTGAATAGATGAGGGCAGTTTAAGTGGGAAGGGGCATTCTTTTTCATGCTTGGGTAGGTCCCTTCCAACTTTGAAATTCTGTGATTTGCCCTGGCTCGTGTCAGAGGTAGGTTTTGAGCCCAGGTCTTCCTGACTGCACTCTGCCAGTGCTCTGTCCACTATGCCCCAGGCAGCAGCCCTTCTATGGAGGTGATACTGTTCAATATTTGTCGTGGTTGAAAAAGTCATCCCTTCAACCAGCCTTAGCTAATTTGGTCCCTGGATGACAGAGAGCTGGCTTTGCCACTGAGCTACCTGTGTGAGAGACCTTGGGCATGTCATTTTACCTTTCTGGGACTTTGTTTGCGCATCTTTAAAATGAAGGGGTTCAACTAGGCAGCTTCTGTGATTCCTTCCAGGGCTAGGTCTACAATCTTATGATTTGGGATTGAATCCTAGGTCAGCTTTGTACTTTCTGTGTGTCCCTGGGCAAATCAATCAACCTCTCTGGTCCCCAGTTTGTTCATCGATATAATAGCTAACATTTTTATAGTACCTGCTATGTGCTAGGCACCATGCTAAGTGTTTTACGAGATTATTCTCTCATTTGATTCTTAAAACTACCCTGGAAGGTAAGTGCAATGATTATCCCTATTTTACAGCTAAGGAAACTGAGGCAGATAGGGGTTAAGTGACTTGCCCACAGCTATTTAGTATCTGAAGGAGGATTTGAACTCATGTCTTTCTGACTCCAGTCCTGGTATTCTATTCACTGCACCGCCTCCCTGCTTGTGAAATGAGAGGGCCAGACCACATGACGGATGAGCTCCCTTCCATCTGATGCTATCTATGATAATTAACTCATGATTAGCACAAGAAAAAAGAGGGAAAAAAAGAGCAAAAAGAAGAAAAAGGGATTTTACATGATAACTTAATTATATATTTAGAAGGAATAGTAGAATTCCAATTTCATGTGTGATCATCTTTTTAATTGTATTATGTTATGGAAATGCTTGTTTTAGTCCATAAATTAAAAATAAAATAAATACATGTGAAAAAAACTATTAGCACAGTGTTAAGTATTTAATAAATGCTTTTTGCTTCGTTGCTTCATTCTTTCATCCATCTCGTTGAAAGGAGTGAGGATTCTAAGAGGTAGTTCGTTCTTAGCATGGACAGGGTCAGTCAGTGCAAAGTCTCGGGGATGGGAGACAGTCAACTGTATGTGAAGATCTCTAAGCAGCGTCTAACTGTAAACAAAAATCAAAGCTTCAGCAGCTATTAACAATGTGGTGCTCTTTCACAGGTCCGGCAACAGTGACCCCTACTGCATTGTCAAGGTGGACCATGAGGTGGTAGCCAGGTAAGCATGTTGGAAGCTGCCCAGCCAAGGCTCTGTAAGGGGGGGTCGGGGGGCCCGCCCTGCCCCGGGCATTGGGCATACCTCTGTCCTCTGAGGTTATTGACCTACACTTGTGACTTTTCTAGGAAAATGGCAACTCATTCTCTTTTTATTAAATGCCTTTTTAATAGATGAAAAGCCCTATGTTAAATACTAGAACCTGGTGTTTAAGGACACTAAGCCTTAAAGAGTTACTTGGGGCAGGGGCCTTGGATTCTTGGGTTCTATTCCTAGCAAATTTTAGAGTCCAAAGGTCTGGGTTGAAACTGTAGTATTACTGTTTCCTGCCTTTCTACCTACCATTTAGTAGCTGTGTGACCCTGGGCAAGTCACTTAACCTGATTTACCTCAGTTTCCTCATCTGTAAAATGAGCTGGAAAAGGAAATGGCAAACCACTCCTGTATCTCTGCCACAAAAACCCAAATGGATTCATGAAGAGTTGAACATGACTGAACAACAATAACTTTTGTGACCTTTACTAAGATCATTTCCCCTTCTGGGCCTCAGTTTCTTCTGCTGTAAAATGAGGGGGTTAGACTAGTAGCCTGTGGGTCCCTTCCAGATTTAAAGCCCATGAGCCCCACATGGGGCATATGACCCCTGTCTTGGCTCTTTGGGGAGCTCCTGGATGTGGCTTTGGTGGGAGCAGGGCTTGAAGGGTTTGATCCAGTCTCCATCTCACCCATCCCCGTGGCTCCATACCTTTCTGATGCCTCTGACCTCCTCCCAGCACTGATTCACCAGCTGCCAGGGCTCCTGCCTGCTACCCCTCCCTGTGTCATCTCCTAATTCCCAGGCTGATCTGGTTCCTTCCTTCCCCACCCTCAGCTCTGCCCATGCTAGGTGTGCGTGCGTGTGCGTGTGCTCGTGTGTGTGTGTGTGTGCGTGTATGTGTGTGCGTGTGTGTGCGCGTTTGTGCGCGTGTGTTTGGGTGCTCCTGCTTGGGTGTCCAGCCCCTCTCTTTCACCCTCAAGGACAGCAACTGTGTGGAGAAACCTGAATCCATTCTGGGGGGAAGAGTACACCCTGCACCTGCCACTGGACTTCCATCATCTGGCCTTCTATGTTCTGGATGAAGACACCATTGGGTGAGGGCCCCTCTGGGGTGGTCTCAGGCAGGGCCAGGGACTGCCCAGCAGCAGGTGGTCTTGGCAGGAGCCTGAGGATGATGGCTCTTCTCCTTGGGCAAAGCCCTGTTTGGCTCTTAGAATAATAGATAGCAAAGCATTAAAGTAGGAAGGCATCTGAGAGTATAGTCAGGAAGGCCTTCAGAATACGGCATGTCAGAGCTGGAAGGGCCCTTAGAACAGGGAATGTTAGAGCTGGAAGGGCCCTTAGAACAGGGAATGTGAGAGCTGGGAGGGGCCTAAAAGAATATTTGAGAAGGAAGGAAACTGAAGCCAGTAGAGAAGAAGGGATTTATCTAATATCACACAATGAGCCAGTAGCATCTTGTCTTCTGTTGTTCTGCCCATGGTGAGAAACTGAATCCGTTTCCTCATCTGTAAAGTGTTGGGGTTGGACTTTCTGAGGTCTCTTCTAGTTTTATCTCCTACGATCCTCCTTTGGTGGGGAGGACCAGCCATTCCAACGGGCCAGGAGACGGCAGAGTGACCTCTCAGAGTTCTAGATGGGCAGTGCCCAAGCAAAGTGACCACAGCAAGTGTGATTAAATCCTCCCCAAAGAGGGGTCCAAGACCTCCATTGTCCACTTGGCCTCACAGACAAGGGTTTAGAACGAGCAGGTTGGTCGCCCCGTTCTTCCCTGCTCCCTGTGGATGCTCACTCCAGGTATCCCTCACCATGTTCCCTGCAGACACGATGACATCATTGGCAAGATCTCACTGAGCAAGGAGACCATTGCAGCAGCAAGCCCCCGAGGTGAGGATCAGGGGCCTGATGGGAGCTTGTCAAGGTCGCAGATATGGGGAATGGAGCCTAAGGGCCCAGAGGGCTCTTAGAACATAGAATGTCAGGGGTAAGAAGGGTCTTAGAACCTTGGGAGGGCCCTTAGAACATAGAATGTGAGAGGCCAGAAGGGTCTTAGAACCTTGGGAGGGCCCTTAGAACATAGCATGTCAGAGCCAGCAGGGGTCTTAGAACCTTGGGAGGGCCCTTAGAACATAGCATGTCAGAGCCAGCAGGGGTCTTAGAATGTCAGGGCTAGCACGGGCTCAAGAGCACAGACTATCAGATCTGAGAGGGGTGTTAGAACAGAGAATGGTGCCACCTCTGGTTGGCACTTTGAGGTCCTTAGTGCCATGGGGAAAGATACATCAGAGTCCAGCTGGGCGATGGTGTTCATTCTGACCTTTTCTGCTGCCAGGGATTGATAGCTGGCTCAATCTGAGCCACGTGGACCCAGATGAGGAAGTGCAAGGGGAGATCCACCTAGACGTCAAGCTGTTGGCGGAAGCCCAGGGACCTCGGCTCCGCTGCCACATCATTGAGGCTCGGTATGGTCCCTGATGTGGGGGGGGGGGCAGGTGGAGCTTCCTTGTCTCTGGGGGATAAAGTGGACATAGTGAGAAAGAGGGAGGTTGGGTGTGTGAGTGGGCCTTGGCATTGGAGGACTCTTGGTGAAATTTGTCTTCCCCCGCTGCTTCTGTTGAGGCACCCTGAGATTGGGAAAGGTTATGGGCAGTTGGAAGTGGGTGCTAATGAGTGGGCGGCTGGTGCAGAGGAGGCAGCATGGCCTCATGCCAGCCTGGGGGGGGCTTGCCAGTGCTGTCTTTCTCTGACTCATCCCCAGCCTAGCATCGTGAATCAGCTGTGGCCACTCTTGGAAACAGCCGGCTAGACCAGCTGTCTCTTCCCCAACAATCTCCAACTCAGGCCATCCTGCTTTCCACCCTTTTTCCTTCCTCCCTTCCCTCCCTCCTTCCTGCCTTTTTTCCTTTGGGAATTGGGACAGAGAAGCCAGCCCCTCCTCCCCTTGGGATCATTCCCTCCCACCCCCACCCTAGGAGTCTCTGTTCTCTCTGCAGTGTAAAAGGGTGACCTGTGCGTGACAGATTGTGGCATGGAGGAGGGGAAGCTGTTGGCTGCCAAGAGCCTCTGTTGTGCCCCTCAAGGCTCATGGGACCTTGGCAGGAGTGTCCTAGGCAGCTCTCCAGTGTCCTTATATGCCATCTGATATACTATCCTGTGTCAGAAGAATCTTTTCATAGGGTCACAGGAATCTAGAACTGGGGGAGGGGGACTTAGAACCTGGAATGTCAGAGCTAAGAGAGACCTTAGAATATGGAATGTCAGAGCTGGGAGGGACTTTAGGACATGGAATGTCAGAGCTGGGAAGGAGCTTAGGACAGGGAATGGCTAAGCTGGGAGGGGCTTTAGGTCTTGGAATGTCTAAGCGGGAATTAGAACATAGGATGTCAGAGGTGGGAGGGACCTTAGGGATAACTTTCATTTTAAAGATGAAGAAATTGAGTCCCACAGTTGGAAGTGATTCACTCAAGGGTCATTCAACTGGTCACTGGACAGCCAGGAACTGAACTCAGATCTTTTGACCTCATGCCTTGTGCTCCTTCCCACACCCAATGTTACCTCTCAAGGAGTCTGTAGTCTCCAGGCGGGGCAGAGATCTGAAGGGGGTTGCTGCAAAATGATCAGAAAAAGCCCAGGCTTTTGGCACGTTCTACATTCTAGTCCGTGAGTGCACTCTGCTTTGGGAAGGTTCTCCAGTGAGCTAATTGGGTCAGGAGAACCAGGAAGAGCACCTGAGACATAGCTGGCCCCCTGGCAAGGTGGAATCTGTTGTGTCACGTCTAGAAAACGACATCGCCTTGAGAAGGCTCGTCTGCCATCAGTGGGAGAGCCACGGGTCTTGGAAGCCCTGAGCTCTGAGAGTCCATGCCCGTGCGGACTGGTCCATTCCTCTCTGTTCTGTGGCCTCCAGCCACGTGTCCAGGGTTGTGGATGGCTCAGTGCAGGCCATCTCTGTTCCTGGAAGTATACCTGCTAGGGCACCTTCAACTGCAGCGGGTGCAGAGAATGTCTGTGTTAATGAAGGATGCCACCTCCTTCCCATGTTTCCTCATACACGCTTAGTCACATCCCCACCCGTTTTCACTCCCACAAGAACTCACTCAACCCCACTCCCTCTACTTCTAGCTAGATGTCACAGCAGATAAGAGTACTGGACTTGGAGTCAGAAAGAGCCGAGTTCAAATCCAAGCCCCACTGTAGCTGCTGGCTCTAAGATTCTAGGCAAGCACTTCATTACTCAGCCTCAATGTCCTCTTCTGTGAAATGGGGCTAATAATAACACCTATCTCATAGAGTTGTTTTAAGGTGCAAATGAGATAGCATATGTGCAGTGCTTTGTAAACCTTCAGGTGCTATGTACTTGCTAGTTGCTATTATTATTGATTCTAGCTTCAGGTTTGCTACCTAAAAGCACCATGATATTGGGCAGATCCTCTCTGAGCCTCGCTTTCCTTCACTGTAAGATGAAAGGAGCTAGGCTGAATAACTTCTAACATCCCTTCTATCTTTCATGCTCTGCCCTGCAGAATTTCCTTGTGTTCCTTAGGAACACAATTCATTGAGTTCCTGACTCAGCTCTTGGCTTTCCGTGGGAGCTCAGGGTCAAAGCTCTTCCTTCCCTGTGTCTCTTTCATTCCCCACCCCACTGGGGTGGGGTGGGGCAGGGGACTTGACCTAGCACTGAAGGTGGCTTTGAAATCATTTGGACATAAGGCACAAGACTGATAGCTCTCATGTGAAGGGACCTTGAGGATGGAGAAGGGAGATGAAAATGGAGTTGGGTGCTGAGAATATAGAATGTCAGAGCTGGGAGGGGCCTTAGAACAGGGAACGTCAGGGCTGGGAAGGGCCTTAGAACATAGAATGTCAGAGCTGGCAGGGGCCTTAGAACAGGGAATGTCAGAGCTGGCAGGGACCTTAGAACATAGAATGTCAGAGCTGGCAGGGGCCTTAGAACAGGGAACGTCAGAGCTGGGAGGGGCCTTAGAACAGGGAACGTCAGAGCTGGGAGGGGCCTTAGAACAGGGAACGTCAGAGCTGGCAGGGGCCTTAGAACAGGGAACGTCAGAGCTGGCAGGGGCCTTAGAACAGGGAATGTCAAGAGCTGGCGGGGGCCTTAGAACAGGGAACGTCAGAGCTGGCGGGGGCCTTAGAACAGGGAACGTCAGAGCTGGGAGGGGCCTTAGAACA